TGTTATACAGGATACCTTCACTCCCGTAATGCCGCTGCTTCAACCGGCGAAAAGAGTTATTCTGTCTAATATTCCCCCATTCATTAAAGATGAACTCTTGATAGCAGAGCTTTCAAGGCATGGTAAAGTAGTGTCCCAAATGAAAAAGATCCCGTTTGGCTGTAAATCACCGCTACTTAAAGGCACACTGCGGAACTTTTGGCCACTAGTGGCGCTCGACCTGTAACTTTCACGTCTAGCGTCCCTAGAGGCCACAAGCTCCGCAGCACTGTCGCAAAAGTCAACAAACAGTCAACCGGTCCGCCCATAGACAGTGGGTCAGCTTCCTGTGTCTTTAGATTGTGTGTGCTTGCAGTGTTTGAGGCGGGCAGCCTGGCCGCGCTCGATTCCCTTATAGCAGTCTGCTGAGAGAGAGCGAGCGGCTTAGTGCTAACATGTCTGTGAGTGAATGTGGGCGCGGGACGGCGGGCCGGGCACATTTACTGCACTAAAAACACCGTCGGCCTGAGCTGACTGTAACTTATGTGTGTTGGTTTCGTTTTACAGAAACCGTGGGACATGTTGTGTGTAGTGTTTGTGGGCACTACATTTAATGTACATTTGACATGAGTCGATTTTATTTGTTCGAGCCCTGCACTGTGGCGGGCTGTGTTTGTGTGTAGAAATGAACAATGGGCTGTGGGCATTTTATTACACTCATAACACCATCGGCTGTGGCCGGAATACCAGAAAATACTACACTGCTTATATGATTTATCTGTGTCACCTTGGAAACGGCATTTGTGTGCAGGCAAGCGTTAGCATCAGTCGGGCACCCATCCTCCTCCTGAAGCTCACGCCAGCGAGCGAACGCTGGACCAATGGTGATCTTCGTCCTGGCTTTTCATTTGTCACTATGCCTTTTTCTTTTTTTTAGTGTCCTCTGACAAAACCTTTGCCTTCTTCCTTATAGCTGTTGGTTCGGCCATGACGAAAACATACAGACGGCAATCAAACGCGAGTTGAGCACTCACGTCAGAATCTGAGGAAGTTGTGGGTGGTGGGGGAAGTGACGTATGCCGTAAAGCGGTCGAATTTTGTAGTTCTTTTTGTGCTCGGGTTCCTACCCGAACCCCGAAGTTACATAGTGCTAGGAAAAGCGATACAGACACCTTCAGGCTACGGCAGACGTGTCATTCAACCTATTGTAAGTCGATGTACCATCTCAATGGGTTTTGGTAATATATTATAAAGGTTGAAAAGTTCCACAGTGTGCCTTTAAGCATGTTGTTTGTTTTAGACGTCAGGTTTATATGGTTTTGAAGAAAGATGCAGATGAATTGAATGTGGCTTTTAAATTTAAGGTTGATGGGTTTGATTATGTGGTCTTTGTTACCTCTGATATTATGAAATGTTTCCGATGTGGAAAAGAGGGACACATTAGAGGTGCATGTACTGAGAAAGTTAATGTTGCTGAAACGGTTGATAATGAGAGGATGGGTGAGATTGCTTCTGCTGGGACCAGTGCTGCTTCTGCTGGGACCAGTGCTGCTTCTGCTGGGACAAGTGCTGCTTCTGCTGGGACCAGTGTTGCTTCTGCTGGGACCAGTGCTGCTTCTGCTGGGACAAGTGCTGCTTCTGCTGGGACCAGTGCTGCTTCTGCTGGGACCAGTGCTGCTTCTGCTGGGACCAGTGCTGCTTCTGCTGAGGAAGACATGCATGTGGAAAGTACGAGAAGTGAGACTGTTGAGGATGAGGAAGCTGTGGAGATAGGTGCAGACAATGTGGAGAATGAAACTGATGAGTCACAGGAGAATGTATCTGCTGTTGCAGAAAGTATTGAGGCTCAAGAGAGTCTGGGCACTGAGATGCTGAGGGATGAAGAACTTTTTAAAACTCCCACTACTAAAAGGAAAAGAGTAAAGAAAAGTCTGAAGCATAAGAGCACTGGTCAGGTGACTATAGACTCAGCTAATAGTACTGAATGCAGCTCAGTTGAGGACTCTGAGGTTGAGGCAACAGCTAGCAGAAATGGACAGTACGATGATCAAGGTGTGTACACATTTGGAAAAATAAGATTATTCCTTCAGAGAACAAAGAATATGAAAAACGTCCAGGTTGAGGAGTATTTCCCTGATCGTAAACTATTTATAGATTCAGTTGCAATGACAATGAGGGGTGACAGTGAGGAGCATTTCACTGTTCAAGAAATGTTCAGGTTGAAGAAATTTGTGTCTAAATTGAAACTAAAACAAAAAACTGAGGATGGGTTTGAAACGACATAATTCATTTTGTTATTTTAAGTTATTGTTTGCTTTGTATCTCTTGATAACACACTATTTAATGAGTACGATAAGGATAGGTACTCTGAATTTGAATGGTGCAAGAGATATAAAGAAAAGAGCAGTACTTTTTGAGTTAATCAGACAAAAGAGCTTGGATGTTATGATGGTTCAAGAAACGCACAGTGATAATTTAAATGAAATCGATTGGAAAAAGGAGTGGGATGGGGAAGTAGTGCTTTCTCATATGAGTTCAGTCAGAGGAGGGGTGGCTGTACTTTTTGCCAAAAAATTCCTGCCTATTTCTTATGAATTGAAACATGTAATACCAGGTAGACTCATGCTGTTAAAAGCAAAATTTGAAAGATTCAATTTTGTTTTTTTGAATATATACGCTCTAACTATTGGGGCTGAAAGAGTGTATTTTTTTAACAATGTCAACAGTATTTTGCAGGATTATATTTCTGATGATTACTTGTTTTTTGGGGGAGACTTTAACTGCACAGAAAATTATGTATTGGACAGAAACCATGTAGAACCACATGCTGCTTCAGCTCGTGTGATATGCGAGTTAGTTGAGACTCACGGTTTATGTGACATATGGCGGGGGGTTAATAATGATGTCAGACAGTATACATGGGCACATGCAAGGGGAAATGTTATATCTCTGGCTAGAATTGATAGGTTTTATTGTTACAAACATCATCTTAATATTGTTAAAAAATGTGTAATTGCTCCAGTAGGTTTTTCGGATCACTGTTTAGTTACATGTCAAGTATTTATAGCAAATATTAAGACCAGAAGTGCATATTGGCATTTCAACACATCTTTGCTGAATGATAAGAATTTTAGAGATATTTTTTGCTTTTTTTGGGACAATTTTAGGATGAGAAAAGATGAGTTTGAAGATCTGCGTCAGTGGTGGGATATTGGGAAGGTTAAAATAATGATGCTTTGTAAGCAAAGCACATTCAATGTTACCAGGGATATAACACTATCTATGAAAAAGTTAGAAACTGAAATAGTTGAATTGCAGGATTTGGCTGATGCTACCAAAGAACAAAGATATTTGGAGACTCTTAAATCCAAAAAATCTTTTCTTTTAAATCTATTGGGAGTTAGGGCGCAAGGAGCATTGGTTCGATCACGCTTTTTAAACCTTTCACAAATGGATGCCCCATCTAAGTTCTTTTTCAGTCTTGAGAGAAAGAATGGTCAGAGTCGTTGCATTCACTGTTTGTGCTCTGAAGATGGGCGTGAGCTAACAGAACCCTCGGAGATAAGAAAGAGGGCCGTACGGTTCTATACTGGGCTGTACAGCAGCGAGTATGTTGAGGATGATGAGTTGTCTGCTCACTTCTACGAAGGTCTACCCAGTGTTTCAGAGAGCTCAAAAGTGGAGCTGAAGCGGCCACTGTGTGAGCAGGAGCTGTTCACTGCTCTGAAAGCGATGGAGGGGGGTAAAGCCCCTGGCATGGATGGGCTCCCTGTGGAGTTTTACAGAGAGTTCTGGGCAGTTTTGGGTAATGACCTGTTGGCTGTTCTCAATGAGAGCTTAACTGAGGGGTTGTTGCCTTTAAGGTGCAGAAGAGCGGTGATTACCTTGTTACCTAAAAAAGGTAATCTACAAGATATAAAGAACTGGAGACCAGTGAGTTTGCTATGCTCTGACCTGAAAATATTCTCTAAAGCAGGGGTTTTCAAATTGGGTGAATGTGAGCCTCCCCTTAGAGTAGGTAAGGGCAGCCGAGCCCCCCCTTCCCCAAAACACCGTCTGCCTGCCCTAACCCACGCCTGCAGTAAATGCCATCTTTTGTGTGTTCCAGGCAATGATGAGTTTCAATAACAACTGATTGTCTGATCAATAACAAATCTTTTTTAATATTGTATTTGAAGACATTTTATTTTCTAAACATTTTTTTAAAGTGCATTCATAAATGATTATTTGCAACAGCAAATAATTTCCAACTTAATGCAGGCCTAATTGAGGCTACTTTTAAAATCACTGAACATCAGTAGCATATGCCTAACCACAAGTCAACAAAACATGCTTAAAGTGATGCACATCAAAATTAAAATTCTGTCATCATATACTCACCCTGAAGTTGTTTTAAGCCTGTATGAATTTCTTTCTTCTGCTGAACACAAAGGAATATATTTTGAAGAATGTCAGTAACCAAACAGTTAACTGGAACCATTGACTTCCATAGTATTTTTTTTTCTAAGTCAATGGGACCAGTTTACTGTTTGGTTACTGACATTCTTCAAAATATATTCCTTTGTGTTCAGCAGAAGAAAGAAATTCATACAGGCTTGAAACAACTTGAGTGTGAGTAGGCCTATATGATGACAGAATTTTCATTTTGAAGTGAACTATCCCTTTAACGTGTAATCGGCGGCAAAACTACCGACGACGACACCTAACGGCTGAAAAAGCGTCTCGAACAAAATCAGCACAATGGACAGCTCTGACTGATCAATGAACGACAACGCTGTTTGTTCACGGAACACATAACATTTAACCGTCAACTGCATTGAAGGCATGTTATCAGATCGAACAGATTCACATATTTTTCATGACTTTTTTTAACAATCTAAAACCTTTTTAAACAAAAAGGTTTTAAACAAACAAAATGCGCCACTCACGTCATTTGCGCTACAAGAGCGGCATCAACCCTCTAGGACCCAACCAATTTATGGATTCGAGACAACACGTGAGTTTCAATTTAATCGTCCATATTAGTGGGAACAATGAGGCCGCGCTTTTGATGCGCAGAGGTGTTCGATGCGGGGCTGCACTCCAGAGAGAAATAAACGCAAGTCGTCCTCCACCTGCAGCCTTGATCTGTATTTGTTTTTAATCATGGTCAGTGCGGAAAACCCACACTCACACAAGTAGGTGGAGGTGAAGGGGATTAGGACTTTCGTAGCCTTAGTGGAGATCTGGGGGAACTCGCTCTCCACAGAAAACCAGAAACGCGTGATCGGCATTTCTCCCAGTCTCTGCTTCAAGTCCATATTCGAGCTGAGCTCGACCAGGGCCTCCTCTTCCTGCAGGCTCAGTCCATCACGGGGTGTGGCGGGGAAAGAGAACGGATTTCTCACCCACTGATTTCCCAATGCGTCCTCTCCAAAATACTCGCCAAACTGGTCACGCAACCCATTCAAATGCGCAGTGATGACCGTTTGGACAGAGTTAAGAGGCAGCCCTGTCTTCTCCGCAACATCCTCCAGGGTTGGGAACATTTCCACCGAACCTCGTTCAACACGAGCACACCACAAGTCCAGCTTTTTCCTGAACCCAGACACTTGGTCGTGTGCCGAAAAGACGTGGCACTCTTTGCCCTGGAGAGAGGTGTTGAGGGAGTTGATCCTATCAAAGATGTCGGAGAGATAGGCCAACATAGCAAGCCAGTTCATGTCTGCCAGATGTTTTGCCAGTGGGGAGTTAATCTCAGTGAGGAAGAGGAGGACTTCTTCGCGCAAATCGCACAGCCTGGTGAGGACTTTGCCCCGAGAGAGCCACCTGACCTCGGAGTGCAGGAGCAGCTGCTGGAATTGAGCGCCCATCTCATTGCAGAGGATTGAGAACAGACGGGCGTTTAAGGCACGCGATTTAATTAAGTTCACAATTTTGACAGCCTCATCAAGGACAGCACGCAATTCTTGGGGCATCCTTTTTGTTGCTAAAGCCTGTCGATGGATAATGCAGTGCTTCCAGACAGCCGCAGGGGCAACTGCCTGCACCTGTTTTACTAGACCGCTGTGACGGCCAGTCATTGCTCTTGCCCCATCAGTGCATATCCCACAACACCGGCCCCAGTCAAGGCAATTAGCCTGGTAAAAGTTATTCAAGGCCTTGAAAAGTTCGTCAGCTGTTGTGCGGGCGGGTAGAGAAACGCAAAACAAAAAATCTTCCTGCACACTGTGCTCTTTGATAAAGCGAACGTACACCATCAATTGAGCACAGTGTGCGACGTCAGTGGACTCATCCAGCTGAATGGCGTGAAAGGGGCTTTCACGAACACAGTCCAGGACCTGCTCTTTGACATCACAAGCCATGTCTGATATTCGTCGCTGGATGGTATTGTCAGAGATAGGGATCGCGTCAAGTTTAGCAGCAGCTGCTTCTCCCAGCATCACTGAACACATATCTCTAGCTGCAGGGAGTAGCAATGTTTCGCCGATGTTATGGGGTTTGCCTGCCTTCGCTATACGTAGCGCGACACGATAAGAAGCTTCTGTCGCCTTCATGTTAATGGTGCCAAACGACTTTATTATGCTTTTTTGAGACTGCAAATCATCACGCTTCCTCTCAAAAAACTCAACTGGCTTGTTCACTAAATTCGTGTGCTTAGTGTCAATGTGACGCCGAAGTTTGCATGGTCTCATGCTATCATTTGCTAGCACCTCCTTGCAGACCACACACTGCGGCAGAGGTGCAGCCTCGGACCCCGACCAGGTAAAACCTAACTTTAAATACTCAGGATCATATTTCCTACGTTTTTTGCTGGGTCCCGTGACTGTCTCCTCTCTTAATGCTTTCTTCTGTTGACTTGGGACAAGGAAACGATGCATTTTAATTTTTAAAGCTAATACACGAATTTACCGATATCAATAAGGCTGCACAGTTATTATTTTATTCGCGTGTCGCGCCCAGAGTTGCCAACTCTCGCGAGACAAATAAGCAACGGGAGCTTCCAAAACAAGCCCAATATTATTAGATTATTTAACAGCATTATAATTTATTATTTATTACCAATAAATGAGCCTGCAACATATTAAACTGAAACCACTCCTTTATTAGAAAAGGAACCCGTACCCATGCTGTTTTAACGCGACTTACAAAAAAAAGAAAAAAAAAAAGTCACGTATTATAAACTGACTCGCGCCTCCCCTGTCGCTCTTTGGCGCCCCCCAGGGGAGGCGCGCCTCACCTATTGAAAACCGCTGCTCTAAAGCTCTGGCTAATAGGCTGAAAAAGGTGATGGGGGAAGTCATCCATATTGACCAGACTTATTGTATTCCCGGACGATCTATTTTTGATAATGTTTGCCTCATACGGGACATTTTAAATATTTGCAATTTTTCTGGTGCTGATTTGGGTCTTGTTTCTATCGATCAAGAAAAGGCGTTTGACAGAGTCGAGCACAGATATCTTTGGAAAACTTTAAATGCTTTTAATTTTGGATTGGAGTTTATTAATATGATTAAAGTTATGTACCAGGACATTGAAAGTGTTTTGAAAATCAATGGTGGTTTGAGTGCCCCTTTTAAGGTTTTTAGGGGCATTAGACAGGGTTGTGCATTATCGGGAATGTTATATTCTTTGGCTATTGAGCCTTTGTTGAATAAATTACGCTCAAAAATTGAAGGTTTTTCTTTGTACAATGGTAATATATTTCAAGTTTCAGCTTATGCTGATGATGTTATAATCATGGTTAATGGGCAGCGAGATATTAACCAAATGGAGGGTATTATAAGAGACTTTGGAATTATCTCAGCTGCTAAAGTTAACTGGGAAAAGAGCGGGGCATTGGCTATAGGAAAATGGGAGCAGGGCCTACCAGTTTTACCTGATAGAATAACCTGGAAAAAGGGAGGTCTCAAGTATTTGGGAGTTTATCTTGGAGATGCAATTACACAACAAAAGAATTGGGATGGGGTAGTAGAGAAGATGGTAGGTAGATTGGCTAAATGGAAGTGGATTCATTCACAATTATCTTTTAGGGGAAGAGTGTTAATAGTGAACAATTTGGTAGCTTCGATACTCTGGCATAAACTGTTTTGTGTGGATCCACCCATAGGGTTATTATCTCAGCTGCAAAGAATTTTTGTGGATTTCTTTTGGGATCGATTGCACTGGATTCCACAAAGTGTATTGTTTCTTCCTAAAGATGAAGGTGGACAAGGTTTGGTCCATTTGCCAAGCAGAATGGCAACATTTCGTTTACAATTCATTCAGAGGTTTTTAACAGGCCCCGATGATTTGGTGTGGAGGAACTTGACCAAGGTCATCCTACAAAGGGTGGAGGGACTTGGACTTGATGTTGGCCTCCTTTTTATGGATTACAGGAAGTTGAACCTGAATAACTTATCTCCTTTTTATTGTGGACTTTTTAAAATGTGGGGACTCTTCACTCTCAAGAGAATGGACAATTCAGACTCTTTATTTTGGCTGTTGGAGGAGCCCTTAGTCAAAGGGGCTCGTCTAGATGTAACGGATGAGGTACCAGGCCTCTCTCAGAAGTTGTGTGCCTCTGGAACTGTGAAGCTGAGGCAAATCGTCAGTGTGGCTGGCCCTGACTTAAGCAATGTTGCAGCAGTAGCTCTGATGCTGGGGCAAAGGTCAATTCGCCACACAGGAACAATAGTAGAAAAGTGGAGGAAGAAGCTCACGGATGGGGAAAATACGCTACTTAAGGATTTTGGGAAGGGTTTGGAGGTTCCTGATGAAGAAGATCCTGTTCCAAAAATTAGAATTACTCCGGACTTGAAGGATATGTCAGGTCCTTTACTAGACCTTCACGGGCTGAAAGACTTGGATTTGGATATAGTAGAGGGCAAAGTTCTTTATCAGTGTTGTGTAAAAGTTTTTAATAGAGTTGCTTTAAATGGGAGAGTTGATACAGTCTGGAAGGAAAAGCTTGGGATGGGTGAAAAAATTAAACCATTTTGGAGAGTGTTTTATAAACCACCATTGATTAAGAAATCTGGAGATTTACAATGGAGAATTTTACACGGTTCTGTGGCAGTTAATGCATTTATTTCTGTTATTAATCCAAGTGTTAATGATAAGTGTGTGTTTTGTGGTCTTAGGGAAACAGTCTTTCATTGTTTTTTAGAATGTGTAAGACTTAAATCGCTTTTTGTTTTATTGAGTCAAGTGTTTTCAAAATTTGGAGAGAAGTTCACGCATAATGCTTTTATTTTGAGGGGCAGGGTATAGTCAAAAGCAAAAAGTAAAATGGCAGCTAATCAACTATGTGATTGTTCAAGCAAAGCTTGCAATCTATATAAGCAGGAAAAATAGAATAGAGAATAGACTTGGCCAAGAGATTATGTGTCTATTTAAAGCCTATGTTAAGTCTAGAATTGTTGTTGACTTTAAGTATTATAAATTAATGAATGATATGACAGCATTTGAAACGCAGTGGTGTTATAAAAATATTTTCTGTGCTGTGATGGAAGGGGATCTATCTTTTTCTTTATTTTTTAATTGAGGTGTATAGTGTATGATTGTTTTTGGAATTGATTGTATGGAATAAAATTGTTTTTTAAAAAATCAAAAATCTCTCTCTCTCTCACACACAAACTGTCGTTGGACCAAGTGGGCAGGCCTTACACTGACAACACTTAATGCTCATTGGTTTAAACCATGATGAATTGTTCTCTTTTAAAATGTTTGATTTAAAAACTCTAATATGTTTATGTGTATATAGTCCAATTTAATGTGTGAATGTTCCCAAACTCTCTGACAGTGCGATCTCTACCTATATAGGTTATTTGATTGTTGTCATATTTCAAAAAAAAAAAATATATATATATATATTATAAAAACATGTCTGTATAAGGAAATTACTGATAAACTGATACAGTACTTTGAGTGTCTTGTTCATTATAATGTATAATTGTTTTAATATAAAAACAACATAACTTAAATTACATCCAGTTTATCAGCAACAAAACGCATGAGTGTAGATCATCCCGCGATATCCGCCTATGATCTCACATTTGTCTGATCCACTACAAGAAGAGAGAACTGTATGGTGTTGTGTAATATTCAAGCTGGATATTATAAATCTGGTAAGATTTTCAAATGTTAAACATTATTAACACAACATTATGGATCATTAAATTTGGGATGATTTCACACACCATTATAAAACATATAGGTTGTTTTCTACACGTGGTCAAAGAACAGACATGATGTTTTATAATTATTTAGGCCCTACATTTCCTGAAACATCAGCTGTGCCAACTTTTTTTGCATGAGCAGTTTCAGGTAAAATGGGCCAGTTGTTCCGGTAAAATGGGCCAGTTAAACTGCAAAAGGAAATGGTAGGCTAATTTATCCTCAATTTTAATTTTAAAACACAATTGCTTATACAGCCACATGACATTTAAACTGCATTAAACAAACATATTCATATGTGCCATTAAAAAAAAACATTTTGGGTGCAAACCCACATATTCAAATGTGCAATTAAAAAAGTCCATTTTGGAACAGCATCAGTAAACTGATGTCAGTGGTGTGTGTGTGTGTGTCACACTCACACACACGCGCACACACACACACACACATGTCTGGTTAGCTATCTTTGTGGGGACTCTCCATAGGCATAATGGTTTTTATACTGTACAAACTGTATATTCTGTCCCCTTACACTAATCCTGCCCCTAAACCTGCCCATCACAGAAAACTTTATGCATTTTCAAAATAATTTAGTATATTTATTAAACCATTTCCCTTGTGGGGACTGCTGGCTGGTGCACACAATGTAGGTGATCTCAGGTTTTACTATCCTTGTGGGGGCATTTGGTCCAATATAAACAAAGGCACACACACACACACACACACACACACACACACACACACACACACACACACACACACACACACACACACACACACACACACACACACACACACACACACACACACACACACACACACACACACACACACACACACACAGAGATGATGGCCCATTTTAGCTGAAACCATTAGGCCCATTTTACCTTAGTGGGTTAAGGTAAATTGGGCCACCAAGAAAAACATCACTTTTTCAAAAAATATGTTCATATACCAAACTAACAACATTATTTCTGATTGATGCCATCAAGACAGATATTATGCATATTTTTTATGTGCAATATTTGTTTTTTTTAATAGATTTATCATCCTTATAATATTTAGTTAGATTTGGTATGCCAGGCTACTTACCATGCAGCTTTCTGGTGCAGTCTTGATTTGAATGATTCCCCCGCCCACCATATCAATCATAAACTAATCAAATCACCTGTTACTTGTCAAGCACAGTTATGACAACAGTTTGAAATCATTTGCAGTCATTGGCTCTAAATTCCAGAGGAGCTGGGACCCCCAAACCTTAAATGGCCCATTTTACCTGTTATCACCCTATATATAT